AGCGAGCCCCCGTCCACCCTCCCGACTGAGTCGAACATGCCAGACATGAAGAAGCGAACATGATAAACTCAGTTAAATGTGGATGCCTATATACCTGAATCATCCTGAATCCAAACCTTTACGCACCAAGCCAACTAAACCAATACAACCATAAACTCTTGGAGCCCGCATGCCTCAATTTCTGAGAACCTGAGACTTTTCCGCAAAGTCCGGCCAGCCATGACCAGCCCCTTGGCCGAAATTTGTTTGCTTTCCACGCCCAACACCTGGCTTAGAACCACCAACCCTAAATATTGTTGCGCAATGGTTTCTTTTGTTAAAGGATACCAACAACGGGATAACGATATAAAAACCGACAAGCTTGTTCACGCAACTTTCCGCTTAGCTTCAATCTATCCAATATAGCTACGACTGACACGTCAAATTCTTCATCACCCACATTATGCCAAGCTCACAAGCAAATCATCGCACTACTCCTGCAGAAACACGTACATGTCGCAACAGCTCCGATGAATATACAAGATACTACACGTGAAGTCAGAAACCCCCTCAACCCAATCCCCCCTCGCCGAAGCATAACAGAGACGGGACAGCTCTAAGTGGAACCTACTGATGTCCGCAACTGGGTGAACATCCTTATCATGTGTCACGGACATGTTCTATTGAGTTTCCGCAAACATATATAATGCATTGTTGAGCGATACACTCCTGCTGACTTATGACGGTATGACGGAAACTTCGGCATATCGGACCCATTATGGCAGAACTAGAAAGGCAACTAAGGCCTCAGGCTTGTAAAAATCAAGGCATTAGTTTTTCACGTTGCGGACCTTGCTTTCGTTTGTCACACCCTGGACCCCAAGCCAACCTTGAGCACCTCAAACCCTGAAACTTGTCCGGGACCATATAAAAACCATAAACCTCACCTAACACACTAAAAAAACTCTCCTTAAACGGGGCCAGCAAACACCCAACTACATCAGTTATATACTTAACATTGGCTACGTGTTAATTCACTGTTGTCAACAGAATTTCATTAAAGCTTGCTGTTCCACTGGAATTTGTAATGTCATATACTGTAACCTATGCACTTAGTGGAAATGATGTAAAATCATGCCCCTGCGCATGTTTTACAGTTGAACCACACTGGCCTCTGTCGCGTTCTGTAACAGTCAAATCCGCTGTCATGTGCAATTGTTGCTCTTGTTCCGTTTCATGTTGTATCATCCCTACTTTCTAAATCATCCACCCTTCGTCCTATCGGTGTAAATTTTCGCTGGTGTTTGCTTTCTGAATTCTAATTTCTATGATTGCTAAACTATATACCTGGTCACAATCTGGTAATGGTATTAGCTGTGCTATCGCAGTTAAACGTAGTATTTTGCCATGTCCATCATCCATAGAACTGAAAGCAGATTGGTAAACAAAACCACCTGTCTACTCAGAACTGTTCCATTCGCAATGTTATGGTCTAAGATATGCGTAGTTGTGTCGGTGTCGTCATGAGTTCCACTAGTTAATCCACTAGCACTTCCTGCTTCATGTAATGAGAACTGCCATGAAACAATGGATTCAGCAACATGTGTGTGTGTTCTTCGTATACTCGTAATACTAACTACGAGTTCTATTGGCTTACATGTGTGTATCTCCTATATTCGCTTCTACCTACTCATTCCATGGGGTTGCTCGTGCCGCCACCTGCTCCTGCTACTATGGTGAAAGCCGGAAAGTTGGAACCTGCACGCCCTGATGCTCAGTCTGTTGTTTATGTTGCAGTTGTTGCACAAGAGATTAACGCTGCGTTTTGAATTCAACTATTAGCATCATTTTCAGCTTTTGATAAAGAACTGAGATTTACCTGTGGTGTTGCAGCATAATCGTTGGGTAATGTGGGGAGCGAATGCCTGGTTGTCAATTCAGATATTTGAATCTGTTTCCGTTTTAGTGGAATAACGTGAAATTAATTAGCATACCATCTTGTATGATCCTTTAATATTGGGTAGAATAGCTAGGTTTTAAACAGAATTAAACTTGTTTTGTACTATTAGCCTTGATCTGAGTTTTGGGGTTACGTGCTTTACCATCTACACAGCAATAAGATTGTTTATTTCGGTGTTATTACAGATGTGTGTGTGTTTACATGGTTTGCTGCTTCGAAGTTACTTTATCAGCAAGATTATGATTACTGACACTTATTACTAAATTTTGTCCTGCGTTCTCTGAAAGTTTTGGTGCTTGTACGTCGTTTAGTTGCTGCTGTGCCTAACCTGCATTTATTTTGGTATGGTATTTCCGCATCTACATAACTCACGATCGCGTATAAACCGTTTAGAGTTGTCTCCTTCAGAACAACCCGATTTACTGATCGGTATTTGTATTGCCCAGTGTCAAAGTCGCACATTATTGCTAGCAGCAAAAGCAGCAGCATGGATACATTTCTAGCAATTGCATTGACAATACTATTATATAAGCGCTGTTTGGTGCGTGCTTTCCTGTTGGCTCTGGGCTTTTACTATGTTCTATCTTGCTTCCGTGTCAAGTAACAGTCTTGAAAAGTTTCAAATGGAGGTTCCCACAGCGTCCTCTGCCCAAGCCTTAATGCTCAAATTTCACGCGCACATCACAAGACAAGAACGAAAACATGGAACAAACATTCACCCAATACCACAACACATAGCATACTAGCACAGAAACTCTGTTGTTTTCTGCTAAGGTATAGCAAATGTCTTACACACAATCAGCAGCATTGATGCTTTTAATCGGCGGTCCACTGGGTAATTCCTCAATAAGAATTCGTCGAATCCCATGCTTGCCTGTGGAAGCCTCGCCCACATGTCCAAAATTCTCAATCGTGTCCTGCCCATCCTTCTCAACTTATCAACCGCACCCTTGCCGGACTTCGCAAATTTTCAACCACAATTAAGAACTTCATCTCGTACCCGAACAACCCACGAACCCCTCACGAACCCCCAAAAGGTTCGCAGAAGTTCGCCGAAGGGTTTTTGAAAAAACGAACTTCGTCGAAGGGTCAACCTTTGCCTGACAGACCGTTGCCCCCTTCTGCGTTCCCCTCAGAATAAAGATTGTGACTTTCATGATTCGGGAACTTTGCCCCATGATAGTAGTGGGATTGCTTACATCCCCGGAGGTTCGCGGGGGCGACGCAGACACCAGCAAAACAGGAGAAGGCTGGTGGGTACGTGGAAGCCTCAGAGGTGTTGCAAGCGATCCTAACACTAACAGGGTTTAGAGAAGGAACATGGTATCATACCTTGTTGAGGGTTCCAGTATACTTTAAGACTTCTTGATGGGTTTTGTATGTTTGTGCTAGGGCCACGTGCTCTGTGAATGCGCGCTTAGACGCACTCTCGGAAGGAGGGCGTGGTTCGGAGGTTTAGGGTTTAGACGGATCTTATCGTGTGCATTTTCACGGTGTACATCTAAACCTGCATTAAGTCGCTGTGGATGGCGGCATATCTGAGGTTCCAGGTTGATTTATGGCTCCATATGACTTGGGTTTGGGCATCCACAAGTCTTGAACGTTGAATTTGTTTTCAATGTTTGCAGGCTTCCAGATTTAGAGTTTGAGGTTGAAACCAGAGACAGGAATCGCATTCGAGCTGTCTGAAGATTTGGGATTTCCTTGCAAGCTCGGTAAGTCAACTTGGCTTAGATCCCGACGGCAGTATTGTCAGACCCCCCAATAGCCTTCCACAGTGCATTGTCGGACACCATCCAAGAAAGGCGGATCTAAAGCAGAACTCGACGTTCCTTTTCACCGCAGTCCGCTGCCATTCGTACGAGACGCGAGCAACTACAAGGCAAAGGTTCAAGCAGTTCTAACGTTCCGGAGGGTTTAGGGTTCAGGGCTTAGGGAAGCGAAGTGCGTGGCGGCTCGTGCCGGCACGGCCAACACGTCAGAATGCAGAGGGCTCGTCGCCTCATGACCTGTGGAGTTGGTCTGTTGCTGGTGTTTGCTGTTCTGAAGGGTGTGTGGCCAGTGTCTCCACCTGCATTTGTCAGTCGATCTGGTCAACCTGCAAGATTCCAGCAGAATTCCTTCATGACAAGGGACAAGACTGAACTCTATGTGAGCGAGCCCCTGGATGCTAAGTTCCGATGCAACATTTCCGAAAGTGAGAAAATACTGGTGGCTGCGTTGACTTCTGCTGGCAGCAGAGGGCAGAGAGGATGGGCTAAAGTTCAGCACCTGTACGAGCACTACGACGGCCTCGCAGTCCCGGTGCATAGTGCCGCTTTACAGGCTGCCTACCGTTGCCAGCAGTACTCAGAGGCAGCAGAGATGTACAACAAAATCCGAAGCAATGGCGCAGTAGGAGCTCATCGAGTTCTTCTGCTGTACGGTTTGAAGATCTTCGGCAAGCTGCAGGACGGCCGTGCAGTCGATTCAATCTGGCAGGAAGTTCGTGCAAATGGATGGGTCAATCAGTTTCTGGCCGGAGCTCGGATTGATGCAGCCAGCGAGATGGGTGACATTGAAGGAGCTGCATCTATTTTAGAGTTTATGGTTAATGAGAGCGTGCCAGCTGGTGACATCCATTTCTCCTCTGCGATCAACGCATGCAAGAACTCCAACCGTTCCAACCGCCACAAGGCAGCCACATATTTGTTGGAGGGCATGCTGACCAGAGGCCTGCAACCAAACGTGGTATCCTTTGCCAACTTGGCCGGCGCTCACGGGGCGGCTCCGCTGGATGAGCTTGAAGGCATCCTGTCTAGGATGACAGACAACGGTGTGATTTCCAATAAGGTGTTTATAGAAGCATTCTTGGGTGCTTTGTTTCAGGGTCGTCTCACAGCGGCCTGGACCGTGGATGACGTCCGTACCCGGCTGAAAGGGACGAGCAGGGAGAGGCTGAGGGTGGCAAAGTCAGTTCTGAGAGATGCACGGTCTCGACGTGTCCGGCTGACACAGCTCAGCTCCCTGACCGAGCAGTACCTGCAGCAGCTTACCATCTGAGTTGCTATGCACAGCGCACATGGTCTTTGTGGGTCGTTGGTTCACCGGCAAAAGCCTCATGACTGGCTTGAGTAAGGTCCTGCCGAAAGTGCTGTGAATATAGGGTCCTAAGTAAGTACCAAGAATATGTCTTCAGGATCCCTAGTATAATTATAGTAAATTATACCCCGGAACACTATCCTAAGAATTACGGAACTCGGGACACTGGGACTGTTCGGGGCTCCTGGCTGGCATAGCGGAAATTTGTATACGGCCTTGGGTAACATGGCAAATGTCTCAGAGACATGGTGCTCCGAACCATTTTTGCCCGAAGCTCTACACTGCCCTAAACCACCAAGCATTCGAGTCCCACAGACACCAAGAAACCCAAGACACCGCCTTGCAGCGCAACTTGAATCCTCGAAGGCTTGATGCAAGAAAGGCATACACCAGCTCGACCCGACCAGGAGTTCCCTCACGACCTTGTTTTGTGGGTTTTTTGATTGGGCAGTCAACCCGAAGGGTCCTAGGTGCCATTATAGGGGATACTTCGAAAATCATAATAGTAACTCCTACGTAGTACAGAAACAGTACATTCTACTATATAGGTACTTTGGACCCTTTGGGAACACACACAGAACTCCGAGGGCGACATGGGGATCAAGCCGTTCTTTGTTCTAGTGCCCGAAAATATTTCTGCTCGCTAAACCCTAAACCCCCTGGGCCCGAACCAAGATACCCTCGAAGCACCACTGTCCCAGACACCACACAACCCAAGTGCCCCCGAACAGACCGAGGCCGTTGGCTGGATGGGGGTTTAGGGTTTCAGGGATAGTGGTGTAGGGCTTCAGGCTCAGGCTTAAGGTTTAGGGTTCAGGGCTGAATGTTTAGGGTTTACGGGTTCAGGTACATGGGACTGAACCCTCGTGGGCCTGAGACAAGATACTCCTATACCACGTCGTCCAGCAGTACCCTTTTTTATCTCTTCGGGATTTCCTTTTTTGCTTGCAGGCTTGAAGAGTATTCGCTCAACCCCCTGCGCAGCATGAGCTTCGCTTTGTTCTCGTGCCCACAAAGAACCTTCTGCTCACCTGCACAGTTCTGTGTGTTCTCCGTACTGGCTGCATGTCGTGTGAATGCGACATGTACTGGAGTAGTAGGAACGGCCGTGCTACCTATAAACGAGTTTCTGCCGAAACATTAACTTGAACGACCTTCTGCTGAACACCGAAGCCTTAAACCCACCAGCCACAGGAAAAGATGTAAACTTTACCAAGCCACAAACCTCAGACCCAGGTATCCAAATGTAAGAGGACAGCCCTAATTGAACCCCCCCACACACACAACCCAGGGCTCAGACCCTACACCCTGCAATAAAAGGGCCTTGACAAAAAGACTAGGGTTCATAGTTCTGTAGAGGGTTCAAAAATAGTTCTGTAACTATGATTCGCAAGGAATACAACCCGTTGTGGTAACATGTTCAGGAACCCTTGCAAGGAACCGTCGTCGGAGCCATTTTCACGGAACCGTGTAAAGGAACTCTAGACCATCCCGATACTCCCAAAGGGTCCTAGGTACTGCTAGGGGAGATGTATTTTCCCAGGCCATTATAGTAATTCCCACGGTAGAAGCCCTACGTTCTAATATATGTACTTCGGACCCCTTGAGACTGTAAGGTCAGGAGCTGCCCTTCAGCACGACAGGGAGGCGTCTCTTTCCAGTGGGCCCAAGGCACTTGGCCGTGCCCTGGCGCGACAAATAGCGGTTCGGTTTAAGGGCCTGGTGAATACCCTTGGGCCTTAAGGACTCATATGTTAAGGCTTTTGGGCCCAAAAACCATACTACATAAGGCTTTTGGGCTATTTTGAGCCTTAGGGATAGCAATTACGGATTAGTTATTAGCCATAGTATGAGCGTTCAGACTGTACGACTTTGGGGTTCAAGGTTTAGGGTGTAGGGCTTGCTGGGAGTAGAATTCAATGTTTTAGGGCATCTACGGAGTCAGGTGTGATTGGTGCTTAAGGATTAAGGGTTCAGGGTTCAAGGCGTGGGGTTTGGAGCTTTAAGGGGAGTAATCAGATTTGATGTTTCAGGGTTTACGATCCAGAATGCTCATGGTGAACCAACCGAAAACAACAAACTGATTGGATCTGGAGAAAGGCAAGTCATTGTAGCGTCGAGGTAAGTGCAAACTGTGATTTGCAAAAGCCCCCCTAACAAAGCCGAATTGGAAATGATCCCTTGCCTTTTTTTGGAGAGCCTTCCACAAGATTACCGTCATAAACATTCCAAAGAATTGGAAGCAAGGCTTTCGGGACGCATTTCCATAGTAGTTAGTAGTGTATATGGGTCCGCCTGTTCAACCTGACTCAGTTCCTAGGCCCCGGCTTAAATAGTCTTCAACGAGTAGTCTTGGCGTCATAGCTTACATTGGATGTGCTAGCTATACAAGCCGTTATATACCAGCCTGTGGTTCAGGTGCAATTCTCCGTGGATGTGCGCACTTTGGCGCCGGTGGTTAGTCTGCCAGGGACTTAGGCATACGAACTTTGGAGTTAGAGGGGCTCGGGAGCTGAGAGTGATGAAGATGAAGCTGATAGTTTGCTGGCAAGAAATCCCAGAGGGTCCATGCACCCAACTAGGGTTCCTTTAAGGGGTGCATTTTAGGGTTGCCACAAGGGTTCTATAAGGGATTCCCAAATCTTACTCTCTGACCTCTTGTTGGCAGTTGAAACCTCACAAACCGGGTACTTGGATCCTTAGCGGGTGCAGGCTTGACGGTTTATCTTACCTTTGGTTAGTAGGGAATGGAGGAATGGTAGTAATAGTAGTTATAATTGTACCCCATTCCTCCCTTCCCCACTGACCAAAAGTGAGTGATGACTTCGCTTTTTGTTCGTTAGTTTTGGTGTTTTGGTTGGGGCGTCGCTTTTGGCTCAGGCCATCAGAATGCCGTAAGGATTTGGGCTTATGACTGGTGTTTGGGCCTGGAGACCTCAACGAATCCCGGCGCTTTGCCTACTTCGGAACCCGTTAATGGGTCGAGCAATTTGGATACAGAGCTATTCCCTTCGAGTGCCGAGTGCAATGTAACCCAAACCCCGTTCAATTAGGTTGGTTTTGGTGGATACAGTGACATTTGCGGTGGCTGCTGACGGATTTGATCATGTCAGCCTTGCCCCGATACGCCCGAGCTTGACATGGCGTCGCGTTTATTCAGGTTTTCGGGCTGACCCTTATATAAAGTGTAAGGACTCATATTTTAAGGCTTTTGGGCCCAAAGACCATACTTTTTGAGGTTTTGGGGCTATTTTCAGCCTTAGGGTAAGTGCTGCGGGTTTAGGGTCTATAGCTCTACGGATCAGGGTTGAGGGCCTGCTGGGCTGAAAGTAGGAAAGCACCCAGACCCCACCCTAAGGGCCCAAAGGACCCAATAATTAGGTAACTTAGGTTTCAAATAGTAGTTATGCCAAAGGACCCTTAATTAGGTACTTAGGTTCCGACTACTAGTTAGGTAGGTTAATGCTTTGGAGAGTTTATGATAATTAGGTACTTGGACCCTTAGGGCCGTAGCCAACTCACCTAAACCCTGAACCCCTGAACTCCTATAGGCAAGACACTATACAACCCAGGATGGCCCCAAGCGAATTCACCTTCAAGGCTTGTAGAGCTGTACCAGAAATGTCTAACCATTGGTATCGGAGGAGCTGAGGAGCCAGGGATGATGATAATCCCTATTAAATAAGGAGCTAAAGAGCCAAGGGAACCCCAAAACCACTGCTTAGATGTTATTAGTTGCACGGCGGCATCACCGTCCCGGCAATCCTTCACTGTTGCAATTTTCCAGGAGTGGCATTTGCATGCTGCAGAACATGACGAGCCAGCCACTATCGGTGGGACTGGACCTCAGCTCCTTTAGGGACTGTGCTGCTAGCGTCTGGACTGCAGGGCACTGTAGGGTTGAGGACGGAGTTCTCATAAACAGCTATGAGGGTTTGTGTAGAGTTTGTGGGGCTGCTATTTGCTTGCTTGGAAACTCTGCGAGTGCTTGTATATGCCATGGAGGATGATGTATGGTTCTTGTTGCTGAGGGCAGTAAGCAGGCCTACATCTGTGAAGTGTTAGGGTGACTTCGAACCAGGAATGGAGGTTTGGATTTTGGGCCTAGTATATAGTATAGAAGCCTCAATATAGATAGTAATATTGGGTACTGCCCCATCTCAGAAACAGTTGGATAATATTCACAAAAAAGAGATATAGTAGGACCTCAATAGTAGCCCTATTATAGACTGTTACTGTATGGGGGGCAGTACCCAAGTTAGCAATGCCAACCTCACAGGAAGAAGGGCTTCTCCAGCCCGGCTACATACACTTTGTATCCCTCTCGTCAAGTGGAGCGAGATGGAGGAGACCGAGCCTATTACTCGAGAAGGGGTGAGGGAGGCGCAAGCGATCACCGGGCCCTTCTGTGGCTTTCTACCAGAAAGAGGTCTGACATCGAAGGCTGACATCGCTTATGTAGTCGCCCGTCGCGGCCAGCAGGCCACGAAATACCCGACGTTTGTAGTAGATCATGGGAGACAGACCTCACGCTACCTTAAGACGACGCAAGGTTTTGCGATCGAGGTGCTTTCTCTGTGGGGAGTACTTTTTCGGAGCACGCGTTGCTATCGATTCCACAAACAACTACCATCAAAGCTTACCTAGACCACCGAACTAGCCTCTAATATACCCAAAATGCCCACTATTAAGGGCCATAAGGTTTCTATTAAGGGGCACTTGGGGGGTCCTGGTAAGCCCCTCGCCTTTCAAGCTGTAAACCCTATCCCCCCTTGAGCGAAGGCGTAAAACCCTAAACCCTTAGATCCTAGACTCTAAACCCTGAAGCACATCACACCCTGAACCTTCAACCCCTATAAACCCTAAACCGTTAAACCCTAAACCCTCAAACACATTTTCTAACCCTGAACCCTTCAGCCCTAAACCCTAAGCCCTTAAACCCTAAACCCTCGAACACATCACCCCCGCGAATCTCAGATCTGGGCTTTGATGCCACGGGGACTTCGATCACTGCGGCCGTGAAACCTTACGAGCTCCTTCGTCTTTATACCGGGTCCCTTTAGGGAGTTGCCTTAAATTCAGGGTAACGTTAGGGTTTAGGGTATAAAGGTCCATGTAGTTGTATCGTATCTACCCAAAGTGCTTCGTTTTTATACCGGGCTCTGTTCAGCATCCTTTCCGGGGTTCAGGGTTCCTTTTTTGGCTTCAGAGTTCCTTTAAGGGATCTAGGCGTCCTTTAAGGGGTTCATCGAATCCTTATACCGGGTGCCTTTCAGGGTACTTGGGAAGCAAACTTTACCCTAAGGTCTCGAATGGGGTGCCTATAAGGGCTCCTTTACGGGTTCTATGAAGGTACCATAAGCGTTTAGAGTTTAGGGTATAAGATCCATGTAGTTAGTTGTATCGTACGTAACCAAAGTGTCCTAGGTACTATCATGGGGGATACTTCACCAAATCATGATAGTCATTCCGAATATAGGTACTTAGGACCCTTTGTATTTACAGGGATGGTGTGGTGATGGAGGCTCAGAATTTCACAGTCTGCTTCTGGGTTGAGGATTCGGTCGTTGAGGGTGCGTAGGGTTTACTTAGAGGCCCAGGCGACTCCGTAAGTAGTTTATAGGTATTATATTTTGTTCACATAAAACCCAAGAGAATATTAAACATAATAGTTGTATTATGGTTCTAAGGGGGGTATAGAAGTAGAGTAAGTAGAGTTTCCAGTACACACTAAACCCTAAACCCTAACCCCATAAGGTTATCCCAATCTTATAACCGACTCATCAGGCCTCCAAGTAGGGGCTTAAGATGTTTGGGATTTGCGTGGGATTCAGGGTTTTGGCGGTGCAAAGGCCCCACCAGATATCACTCCAGAGGCGATCAAAGAGGCTGCACAAATTCTTCAGATTCTTAAGCTGGCATCATTAAGACTATACCCCTTAGGCTCCAAGGACCCATATTTTAAGGCTTTTGGGCCCAAAGACCATACTACGTCAGGCTTTTGGGCTAGTTTGAGCCTTAGGGTGAGACTTGGCAGCAACGGCATGTCCGAGTTGCTGTGAGCTCCATGGATTGACCGACGGAGGGGTGAAGGCCTGTCTCAGGACTTCTTTTGCCACATGGGTGGTTGTCAAAATTATGGCCCCTTTTTGGGGTCCCTTATATAGTACGGCACCTATCATTTAGGGTACCCAGAAAGGGACCCTAATTTTGACAACCACCCACATGCATCAGATCTTCCCGAGGTCACGGTGAAGCACCAGATAGGCCCTTCTACGGACGGTTCCTGTTTCTGTCTCCTCATGTTCGGGCACATCACGGGGTCATAGCGACACGGTCGTCAGGGGCTAGCACAGGGGAGCTGGGCTTGGAAGCTGCGCTTGCGCAGAGTGCCGAGGGGTCACAGGTGACTTCCGTGGCCACTTCCGCCAGAGGCGGCGGGCTGGAGGCAGGGCATGCTGACGTCGGAGAGATGAGTCCTACCCCGACAACGTCCGGCACGTTGCATTCTCAGTTGTACCCTTGTTCCCTTTTTGTAGTCCTAGGTTCCATATAACGTTACCCAATACCAAAAATGGAGCCCATTTTATTCCTAGGTTACTGGGCATCCAGGAGCCAAGGTTCGGGCCGACCTGCTGATTCTTTGGTACAGAATGAACCGAATGTTCTTCCCGAAGTCACTCTACCCTAAGGCCCCAAAGTAGTTCCTTTTTGGGGGTTCATATTTAGAATCCTAGATGGTAATCCGAAAAAGGAACTACTTTGGGGCCTATTCGTAAAGCTTGCCTGCGGTGAATGCACCCTCTAATGTAAAAGCCAGAAAGTTGGAATATGATTATCCTAAACCCTTTATGGTAAATTACAGGGTATCCTACCTTGAAACCATATTCCAACTTTCTGGAGTTCCCTTTATGTAAACCCACCTAGGGCACGCTGCTCAGCAGAGCGGTTCTATCGCCCATCCTCTGGGTAACCCCAAGGGTCCAAGTACCCAATAATCATATTAGGGGTACCTTATTTTGGGGTCCTTATAATGAGGATCCTACTATTTAGGGTAATTACCATATTAGGGTCCCCTATTTTCGGAAACTGCCATATACTCTCCAGAATCCTCCTAACCTACGTGACTACTATCCTGAAACCGACTACCTAATTATTGGGTCCTTTGGACCCTTGGGGGTAAGGGTTGGGTGCTTCGGGTTTAAGGTTCAGCGTTTAGGGTAGGCCTGAGGGCAGTTAATCAGCTTGATGAGGTCTTTGCAGAGCTGGTAGCGTTTGGCGTGATTCAATATAGAGGCCTGCATAATTTCCATCTTTTCCTGTAGAATTCCTTGTTCCTTAGGGTTCCTTATCATCTCTTTCCCATTCATAGTGCCCTACGTGATATGTATAGCTTAGTAGTACCGCTTGTGGGAACCTTTGTGACAACCCTTGAAGGGACCCTCTTCCAAGTTTTTGGGCCTTCTAGATTAATCATAAACAGTAACCCTTGTAGAACCCGCTCAGAGGAACCCTTAGCAGGAAACCTGCTCTAAGTATTAAGGCCCCTAGATTTAAATCTCTAACGACGCTTATAGCAATCCTTATTATAGTCACCCTTATAGAAACCTTTCGAAGAACTCTTAAACCGAATCCTGCTCAAGCATGAGTTGCCAAGGACCTGGCATGCGGGCATTGGTGGAGGCTACGAGGCCCCCTGCGGCTTTCGGCAGGGTATCCACGCTTGGTTTGGGTGTAGCGTTTATGAGAAAGTTGAATTGAGATTGGTTTGGAAGAGCAGATTCTGATTTTTTCCGCTGATTCGTCCTTTGCCCCCTTCGAACGCAAATCTGAAGTTGCTGTGGATTGGAAGAAGTTAGATTCCCACCAGAGCATCGTATCAATGTCCTAAGCCCTTGCCAGATCCTGATCCTTACACCCAACGCCTGCACTACTTAGAGGCCCCAGGACTGCTTTAAGGGTTCTACTAAGGGATCCAGAGGGTGCATAAGGGTTTAGGGCTTGAGGGTTGCTTTAAGGGATCTATGAGGGTTTCACTACTTAGCGGCCCAGGGGACTTAGTAAGTAGGTGGTAAGTAGAGTTATAAGTTATAAGCCCCCTAAACGGAGTTACCCCAATTATAGCCCACTTTCTAAGTCGCCTGGGCCTCTTAAGGAGGGCCGGGGAGTTTCCAAAGCCAAGCTAAGGGTCCAAAGGACCCAATCAGCAGGTACTTGGGTTTAGGATAGCAGTTATGTAGCTTTACATTTGGGAGAGTATATGATGATCAGGTACTTGGACCCTTTGGGGACATTCCTCGGCTGTTGCTTTGCTTGTCCCTGGGCATGCGAACGGTGGCCCACAACGTCTTTGCTAAGGCCGACAGGGCTTGCTCGGAGTTAAAGGAAGACAAGGTACCGCAAAGCGGCCGTGGCGACCCCGACGCCGACATTGAGTTTTCCGCTGACCGGTTCCGACCAGAGCCCCAAAGAGTTTTGGTTACCGCTGGTAACTTGCATGACTGATGTGGATGCAAAGACCTTTCTTGCCGCCTTCGACTGCTACATCCGCAGACCAAACCCTAAACCCTAAACCCCTAAACCCTGAACCCTAAACCCGAAACCCTAAACCACACAGGTTCGAGGGTTTTAGGGTTTAGGGTTTTAGGGTTTTAGGGTTCAGGGTTTTAGGGTTCTAGGGGCTTAGGGCTTTTAGGGCTTTAGGGTTCTAGGATTTTAGGGGTTTTAGGGTTTAAGGGTTTACGGTTTTAGGGTTTAGGGTTTTAGGGTTTTAGGTTTTCAGGGTTTAGGGCTTTAGGGTTTTAGGGGTTTAGGGGTTTTAGGGTTTTAGGGGTTTAGGGGTTTAGGGTTTTTTGAGTTTAGGGGTTAGAGGTTTAGGGTTTGGGGTTTAGCATGATGGTGCTTTGTTTACTGAGAGGAAGCAGTCAGTCCTTGAATCCGCAAATGTCTGGTTGCGGTACTGACTACAGTAAATCCCAGAAAGTTGGAAACCCTATAGCCTCAATCTTTAAGAGCGATGTATAGGGAATCCCCGCACTATTTGGCGTTAATCCGGTTTCCAACTTTATGAGGTTTACTGTATATGGGCGCCTGAACAATCCTTCACATTATTTGTTAGGGCTCCACTTCTTCAAGTATACTGACTACAATTGCAGCCCGTGCTTTGTGCACAAACCCCGCATCTCGATCCTAAGCCCTGTAGCCCTAAACCTTGAGCCCGAGACCCAGTTCAGGAACAGGGTTTAGGGTTTAGGGCCTTTCAAGGGATCTAAACGGATGGTCAACTTTTCAAAAGGGTCTGCAACGGCTCGAAGCGGTTTCTTTAAGGGTTTAGGGCTCAATAGAAGTCTGACTCATTACGGATTTCATGCTACTGTCCCGTATCAAAGCATGTAACCATGTACCTCAACCCCTCTTTTCCCAAAAATCCATGGGCCCTACGGCAGAAGTTTACATGGGTTTTGATCCGAGGGATTTCCCAAGTAAAGACAGTGTGCAAGCCTTAGAGCCCAGCTGCACATGCGCACATAATGGGGATGGCTTTCCCCAAGGGTCCAAAAGACCCGATAATTAGGTACTCGGTTTTAGGATCGTAGTTATATAGGTTAGGATTTTGGAGAGTATTTGATTATTAGGCACCTGGACCCTTGGGGTTAAACCCTCAACCCTAACCACTGACCCCTACAAACCCTAAACCCCTAAACCCCTAAACCCTAAACCTAAACCCCTAAACCCTAAACCCCCAAACCCTAAACCCCTAAACCCTACAAACCCTAAGCTTTGTATCCAAACCTCCTCCAGCCGAAGTAGAAGCGGGCGATCTCAGCTCAGCGTCCTTCAGGTCTCCATGCCCTTGTCGGATCAAGGTTCCTTCAAGGCTTGGGATTTTTTGTTTCTTTTAGGGATTAGGAAGTTGGGGTTCAGGGTTTAGGGTTCCTACATATATGGGCTCCATTGTTTCGGGATTAGGGTTTCAAGGTTCCTTCAAGGCTGTGATTTTTGGTTTGCTACCCTAAGGCTCCTAAGAGGGTCACGGGCTTTCTGGGGGAGGGTTTGGGCTTTAGGGGGCTAAGGTTACAAGCGCAAAGTTTAGGGAAGACAAAATAGGCTTTATGGTTTAGGGATTATATAGGTAGTTAGGCTTCAGGGTTTAGGGTTCCTTGGAGGCCGTGTGGTTTTATACATGTATGAGCTCTATTGTTTCGGGAGTAGGGTTTCAAGGTTCCTTCAAGGTTGTGTTTGTTTCAATATACAGGCTTGAAGTTTAGGGATTATACAGGGGGTTTATGGTTTAGGCATTAGGGATTTGGGGTTCAAGGTTTGGGTTTCCTTGAAAGCTCTTGTTAGGGGCAGTACGGATGGCTTTCTTGTTTAGCAGTTATAGGGTTCAGGGATTTGGGGTTCAGGGATTAGGATACCTTGAAGGCTTTTTTCGGGGCCTTATATTAGATTCACAGATGTTTGAAACGCTGGTTTTCGTAGCAGGGTTTAGGGATTTAGAGCGCAGTAGGCCCCTTCAATCAAGGCTAGCTTGGTTTGTGTTGTTCAGGATGTTTTGTCAGGGCTCCGCAAAGGCCATCTTAGAAGGGTATCGCAGAGCGCGAACTTGAAACCAGGTTCCAAGAGTAGTGGGTTTTCAGGGCTCCTAAACCCTAAAAGCTAAACGGGTGTCAACTTCAATAGTTCCATATAGTTTTCCCTCCGAGGTTGGCTTGGGTCTGGACTGTTATGAGGGCTTTACAGGGGCTCTGACCTTAGCCTTAAATTCCAAATTGCAGGACTCGGTGTTAGGAGTTTAGGGTCTCGGAGGAGGTACTTGGGTTTGGGATGGTAGCCTAGGGGTCCAGCACTCAAGCAGTGGGGTCTTGGTCGTAGCTTGCAGGACTAAAGCAATTAGTCAGATTATTGCCCAGGGTTCCTTAGTAGAATCATACTATAATGACCCCAACGCTGCGCTCGAATCATTAAATTCTGATTAGTACAGTCTACCTGAAAAGATCTTTGGGGTAGTGGAACCCTCGAGGATGGAGTTGTGTTTATCCCGAATGGCCCAACGGACCAAATAGCTGAGTCTTCGGGTTTAGGAATGTTGAGGAGAATAGCACTCTAGGAGCGTGTTTCAGGAAGTGCGTATATGACTATTAAGCACAGGGACCCTTTTGAAAGCAGCGTGATGCATACTCTAGCCGGAGTCATTCTGGTTCAGTTGCCCCTTATGTCCCGGTCGCAAGGTCTCGTGAGCCGTAAATTATTTGGCAACATAGGCTAGCAGAAACTCTAATGCGCAACTCCGCAAATCCAAGCATAGAAGTGACGGTAGACCCTAAACCTTAAGCCGGAGTAACCTACCTTTTTATGGATTTATATAAGGAAATCATAATAAGCGATCCTAAAGAGGTAGGATATTCCGGCTTAAGGTAAACCTTATAAGCATGCTACCCTAAACCCTAAACCCTAAATCTAAACCCTAAACCCTAAACCCATATAAACCTTAAGCATGCAAACTCCTTAGCCCGACAAAAATAATTCCTAAGCCCGACAGCCTAATGGAACCTGTCAAAACCCTTCAAACTCCGTGAAAGCCGAAGGAGCCTCAAAGCGGGTCCAAAGATACTACCAGTACCATTCTGAACATTACGCTCCGCAAGACCACATATTTTGTTTTTTTTTGAGGGGGGGGGGGGGCGTCTCGACGTTAACCTAGATTTGGAGCCTCTTTGTACAGCAGCTCTCTGGCCCATCTGAATAGCATAGCAATCGCCCCGAACCCCGAGAGTTTCGGGAACTTAGTCACGTAGCCCGGACCCCAAAGTATGTAAACAAATGGTGTTTTGAAGGTGTTGGGCCATTATTTCACCTACTTTGGGGTTTTAGGATTAGTATAAGTAGGGAGGTTCGAAGTAGGGTTACGACAACTGTAGGCTCCTCTCATTCCTGCACATGTGTTTCCCATTGCTTCGACTTGCTCTCGATGCAAACGCAGTCGCATCGGCATTCGGCACCGCGGTTCCTCCTGAGGTTCCCGAAGATGCGCGCCGTTTGTCAAAGCCAGCTGCCCAGTCTTTGGACGACGCTAGTAGCAAGCAACGACCGCCCCCGCTGCCAAATTCCCAGCCCCCAGCGCTGGCTCCCCCACGTCGTTCTCTCACTGCTCTTTATACTCTGACACACCCACCCGGATGCGTCCCTGCAGTGGCAATGAAGATGTCGAACATCGCCAGTGTTAATCCCAAGCACCAGCACATAGTCGATGCCTGCGCAGTCACAGAGCCATCCCGCTCGCGCTGTGATGTCATCACGTCACGCGATATTGTGGACTGAATGCGTGCTGGCGAAGAATTACAGGCCAAGTGTTTTGATTCCAGTGTTAAGGCCCGCATATGATGCCCCGAAAATCCGTCGGATGAAGCTTCCTCTCGTTCTACAAATATACCCCGAAGCACTCAAATGTAACAAGTAATGTACCAGCCTTGCCTTAGATTTTGGGGTATGATATACTATATGTATAGTACGGAACCTTATAACGAAGAGTTTTGCTAATCATGTAGGCTTCTTTTCCCCTACACCCTAAACCCCTGAACCCTTCAGCCCGTCAGATGAAGCTGCCTCTGGACACCACCCCGCTGGACGACGAGCAGATTCTGCTCGCACGCTCTGCGGGATATCGCTACGTGCGGGGACCTGGGTTTCGGCGAATGGTTCCTTCGTCAGTGTTGTTTTGAGGACTTACGGGACTTACATTATTTAGAGCCACTCTTCGGGATGATTGAGGGTTTGCAGAATGTTGGAGGCTTGGGGTGTATATGTGGCTTGGGGGGGATGATTATCATACGGGTTCGTTTGGGGGTCATAATTGCAGCAGAGCATATTTTACCCGCTTGTCCTTCATACTGTATCCATAAAATGCAGTTATCCTACTTCTGTCCAAGCTTGCAGCTACTTCCTTACAATGTCCCGCGATGTCAGCCCCGAGCTGCAAGTATAATGTAACGACGTCTTCACAGTCCCGATTGAGCTCTTACGTACTACCGTTTAAAGCGCATCTTTTTCTGGTTGGGTCCTAAGTACCTGAACAGGGGGGACTCAAAGTCCTACAACGGAAGCTCTACTTTCACTTTGGGATTTCGGGGGTTCAAGGTTCAGGGTTTCGGGAACCCCAGACCGTCAAGCTTTGGAACCTTCTTCACCAAAGTCAGGGTTTAGGGTTTGAATCATCACACTTTTTTACAAAGCAGTGCCATTCAAGGCTGCGGGAAGACATAGTCAGAGTTTACGGGCACAGTCTACACCATCAGCGGATTATAGACGTCAGAATAAGAATTAGTATAAAGATATTCCCGTATCGTCCCTGTATAAAATGTTACTAATTACTACAATAGACCCCAAAGCACCAAGCCCCCATACAGGAACCCTTAGTGAAACCCAGAAAACGCTCACAACACCCTCACGGGAACCCGTAAAGGAAGCCACTACGTAAGACCCTTAACTGATCTTAACTGTAGAAGCCCACAAAGTAACGCCCATAAACCCCCCAACAGAACCCGAAACCCCAAACCCTGAGCCACAAACCCTATAAATCCCATAATTAAACCCTGAACCTCAAACCCTATAATCTATAAGTCCCAATAAACCCTATAAACCCCGAACCCTACAAAATTTGCAAGAAACCCTCTCAGCCGGAGCCCCAAGCCTCAGGTGCTTCTGCCTCCGGACACCAACACCAAGATCCGGCCTGGATCTGTTCGCGACCGCGTGGCTTGGAGTCTCAGCTGTGCGCAGGTTTAGGGTTTAGGGTATACCTATAGTCTCCATTGTAGTTCCTTTTTTGGGGCTACCTTATAAGATCCTTTAGGATTTAGGGTATACCTTAACCCTGAAGAACCTACCTTTTAGGGTTCCTGATCATGATTTCCTTTTATAGGTCCTTAAAATGGTAGGGTTTAGGGTTCCTTTGGGGGTGTGACTCCGGGTTTTGTGAGGGACCTACAAAGCAAAGGGGCCTACTGACTCAGGCCCCCATTTTCGCTGGCTGCTAGCTTCCAGCTTGAGCGGTTAGCAGATCCTAACCATACAAACAGGGGCAAATAGGTATCTAAGAAAAGGGGTTTGGTGTGACCCTGAAGGTAGAATTGAACCGGTTGACACGCCGGTTTAGGGTTTGGGGGTTTAAGGTTTATAGTGTTTGGGCTCTACATAGGGTTCAAGGTTGAGGGTTTAGGGGCCTAAGTTTAGGGCATAGACGAAACTGTTCCTCAATCCCACAATCTGGTATACTCCCCTGATGTTGCTGATGTTGCCGATAAGAAAATATCGTATGACATGCACCAAAACGCTATATGTTGCCTTTAATTCCCAGTCCTGTAGCACGAAATTCCTTCAAAGCCGGCTCGAATCATCACGGCCCCGATCACAATAATGGAGTCTCATAAGAACTCTTTAGCTTGTAAAAATCATGATAGGAACCTCTCTGTTTTAAGGGTTCAGGGTCTAGGGACTCATAGAAATCATTGTAGGACCTTGCTGCTTGAAAGGTTTAGCGTTTAGGGACATCATAGAAATGATTACAGGACCTTTCAGGGGATTCCTTTAACCCAAAGGGTCCTATGTACCGATATAGTAGAATGTAGGGTTTCCATATCAGGAATTACTATTATGACTTAGGGCAGTATCCCCCATAACAGTACAAAGGACCCTTTGGAAAAGGAACCCTATTCCAATTACTGGGGCCCCTAGCCTTGGCCTGTATTGACATCTAGACCCTACACGCAAAACCTTGAACACCCGAACCCCGCAGATCGATTAGGCGGGTCTTTAACCATAAGAACCCTAAGCCCCAAGAAATCCTAAAGCTCAGCACCCAAGCCCAAAGCCCTACCAAACCCTAAACCGGCCCTAAACCCTACCTGTGACCCCAAACTCCACAAAATAGTAGGTTATGACCTCGTGATGAAAGGGTAGAACGCTTAACACGGTAGGTTTTTGGATCCTCAGGCATAGATTCCTAGACCCCAAGACTAAGAAATGCCAAACCTGAAAGCCCTAAACCCTATAAACCCTAAACCCTATCAACCTTATAAGCCCTGAACCCTAAATCCTCTAATTCCTAAACCCTAAAGCCCTCAAGCCCTGAAAGCCCAATGTCCTGGTGATCACTTTGGGAGGTCGTGTGCGTTCCGATGCTCTCCGTGCTGAATGCGCCGGCCCTGGAGTTCTTCACTTAAAGTAAAAGCCAGAAAGTTGGAATATGATTACCCTAAACCTTCTATGGTAAATTATAGGGTTTCCTACCCTGAAACCATATTCCAACTTTCTGGAGTTCCCCTTAGGGGATTATTAGAAAAGGGTTTAGGGGCCCAATATACCATAATTCAAAAAAGGAGCTCATAACATAGTATAGGTAAGCATATCTTAAGGCTTTTGGGCCCAAAGACCATGCTATCTAAGGCTTGTGGGCTATTTTGAGCCTCAGGGTTAGGGGCTGAGTATGTAACCTTTAACCTTGTGGGCTTGAAAATAATCCTACTAGAATTCAAAAGGTTAGCCTGTTTTGGGCTAGGGTACTCAGCCCCTGATAAGGCGTTTATAATTTTATATCCCCAAGGGTCCAAAGGAGCTAATAATCAGAGGGTTGCATAAGGGATCTATAGGCATTCTTAGGTTTTTGTAAACGGGGACTTAATAATTAGGTACTCGGGTAGTAAGTATGCAGGTTAGTCTTTGGGAGGGAATATGATTCTTATGTGCTTGGACCGCTAGGGTAAGGGTTCCTTTGAAGGGCTTATAGGGTTCTTCAAGAGGCTTCTGGAGTTTAGGGTGTTTCTGGGTTTAGGTTTTTTTTTTGTTTTTCAGGTTTTGGGTTTGTTCGGGTTTAGGCTTTAGGGCTCTAGGGTGCGCCAGGGCGAGGGTTTCGGGATTTTGTGGTTTTTTTTGGTTCGGGGCTTTAGGGTTCTAGGACCCAGGGCTTAGGGTATCTTGGGGTTGAGGGTTGCGGGCCAACCAGAGACTCCAAAACCAATTAAGGAGTATACGTTAAATTATAGTAGGATCCCCTATTGTGAGTTAAGGTATATTCCTTCATTAAGGGATTTTGGAGTCTCTGGGTCACCCTAAATCACCTGCCTGTTCAAGGTTCCTGATTATGGTATCCTAGGTTCTGTGCGGTCCAGGTAGGGCTTGGGTTCTATAATTCGCTTGTGGTTAAAGCTATCTAATACATGGTCCTATACAATTACCAATACTATTCTGGGAGCTCCTCATTCTAATTATGGCGTAATCGGCCCCAAAACCCTATTCCAATCATTGAGGCCCTTGTAGTATGGTCTTGAGGTTACCCATAAGTCAGGGGCCATGATCTCCTCTTGTGTAGGGCTTCGGGCTTGTTGACTTCTAGGGCATGGGTTTTGGGGTTTCTTGGGGGTTCTGCTTTAACACGTCATCCCTGCAGCTTCAAACCTATAAATTTCAATCCTATTTCCCGATGCCCTAAGACCCGAAATCCCATGACTACAACACCTACAACACTCCGTGACTTAGTGCAGCAGGCATTCTTTAACCTCTATGGGGTACTACACTCCCGAAAGAACCACAGTATCATTGTGAAGTGGCTTTCGAAGCCAAGGATCCTCATACTTGCATGGAATCTACCAGCAGAGATTTATGGGAGGGGCCGAAGGACATGCCCCCCAGAGAGAGAGAGCCCATACCCCCTTATCTAAGGAATATGACTTAAATTATGTAGGGCTTCATACTATTTTTTCAGCTATATTCCTTAATTAAGGGGTATTGGGCTCTCTGGGTTTATGGGAGGGGCCGAAGGACATGTCTGAAAGGTTTGCAGGCCCGAATCCAAGCCTTCCAGTGCTTTGTAGCTTATCTCCAAGGGTAAAAGGAGGGACCCTTAATAAGGACCCCTAGGTATATACCCTTAGTATAGCTATTATATACCCATTATATAGCCGATTATGGGGACCCAGGAGTCCCCATTAAGGGTCCCTCCTTTTCCCCTTTGATTATCGCATGTTGCATGACGAGGATCCCTTGTACAGGAAACTCCAGAAAGTTGGAATATGGAACCACAAGGACCTGACAACTGGGTTCGTTTTAAGGAAGTTAGTTTAAATTAAGGATTTGGGAGTTTCCGAAAATAGGGGACCCTTATATAGTACCCTAAATGGTAGGATCCTTATTATAAGGACCCCAAAATAAGGTAAAGGGAACTCCAGAAAGTTGGAATATGGTTTCATGGTAGGATACCCTACAATTTACCATAGAAGGGTTAGGATAATTATATTCCAACTTTCTGGCTTTTACCTTATTGGAATTAGTGACTTTATCCCTATGCACTGTTCCCACTGTTGAAGGATGCTTCTTCCGCAGAAGATCCTAGTAGTAGAGTAGGTAACCTTTAGCCTTCTTTGGGTAGTATGGTCCCTACATAATCCCTATATAACCAAAAAGGGTTCGCCCTTTAGTTCCCCATGATAACCGACAAGCATCAAGGGTGAGATCAACCCATCAGTCTCGTGGGTGTTGTTGTGGATGTTGGTCAGGACCGAGTTGATCATGGAGAGCGGTGTTCCTCTGTACGAGAACGACTACACCTACGAACCCAGTAGAACTCTACCTAGCATCTGTTCGCACTTCACTCGCCTTGAAGATGTCTACTTCCGAGATGCCAAGCAAGTTGGCGAACCTTCTGCAAGCTCTGCTTGGACTCCGACTC